TTGTTATTAGCCGAAATTGGGCGAAATTATTTTAAAGTTGTTTAAGTTAAAACAAGTTGATTCATATAGTTTTTTAAATGTTCATGCTTATAGAAAATGTTGAGAAGCCCAAATTGCTCAAACTAGTTTGGGCTTTGAGAAACTGTTTGGACCAGAAACCTTAGGCTATACCATACCATACCATACGTTCTGCAAGAGTTATACCATACTGAATCTCTCCCTACCGTGTTTGGCTCTACACCAAACATACATTTTTAGATCATAAAAGACTTCTGTATTCAATAATCTTTCATTTTCATTAAAATATTTTTCAAATATTGAATTCATTTTTTTTCAAATGGTTATGCCTCTAAATAATATTCCCAAAATTATATATTAATGAGAACTAATTTTCTTTTTAACATATTTAAATCTGGTCACATTTATTGTCAATAAAGATTTACAAAATATAATAATATAAGTAACAATCTAACATTGTATTTATTGTTTTATTTTTTATCAATTATTTGAAAAACTTCTAATTCATCAAATTTACCCTTTACTATGTTGATGTTATTATAAGTCTTTGGTTTTTTACTACCAACCTCACTTTTTGTATGAAAATATAAATCATGACCACAACCACCACCAAACCTAGGTAAAAGAGAAGGATGACAGAAAATTGCATTCTTATCATCAATAACATAACTAAATTGAGCAGTATTGATATTTTTCCTATTACTTATATTAAATATAAAACCCTCAGTTGTATTTTTATATTCATTTCCATTCCAATTAAGTGGATTATAACCACCAACTATTTGTTCTGAATTTTGTATTTTACCAACTGTAAGAGTTTTGTTGATATTATCACATTTTTGATGAAATATGGCTGCATCTAAACCATCTCTACTACTACAATATAAAAGTTTGAATTCATATTTGACTCTCTTAAAGGAGGTATATGGTGAATTTTAGTAATAAGATATGCAAGCAATGGAAGTTTTAAAAATTATATAAAATCAAACTATATAGGATGGGATCATAA